TAGAGGGGCTTTCACTGCCCCTCTCACACATGGATTCAGAAAGTAATCTTTTGCCTTGGTGAGTGGCCAGTATGTGATTGGAATCAAAATTCAGAGTCTCAATATACTCAATACATATAAGTCCCTTCTTACAGAGATGGCCTGCACATGTACTTCCAATGGAACAACATCTGGCATTGTATGTTGGTGACTTCAGTTCTCATCACATTTAGTAGAAATGTTCCACAAACAATGAAAATGGCATTCAACTGACGGACTGCACTACAGCTAATGGACATCAGTTCATCCAAGTTGAAAAATTTAAGAGGATTATTCTATTCGGCACAATGGAAATGATCTTATAGTCCTGACCTCTGTTTTATCTCAATAGATGATAACAATACCCCTTTACTAGTCACAGAAGAAGTACTTAAAACTTTTTTTTAAAGCCAGCATTGTCCTATTATAACTGAAATTAGTATTACTATCCTGGTTACTAATAGCCATCCCCTCTCATGCTGGAATACTGATCAAGCTGACTGGACAACCTTCTGTAATATTATAAAAACTAATGTCAATAGGATCCTGACAGTCCCCCCAAATATTTTAGATTTATCAAATTAGGTTTTTTTTGCAGTTAATATAATTAACCTGAAGATTAGTGGGGAATCATTACTGATTATTCTAATTGATTACACTAATTATACTTGGAGTATAAATTTTGGAGTCCACTTTGACTGTAGTCTCATCAATAGGCATCCTTTACAAATAATTAAGAATAAACTTACCACATGTAATAGCATCATCTTAAAATTGGATGGTATGAGTTGGAGAAGTGATGCCGAAGTTCTTAGAACATCAGTGCTGGCCCTTGGTTTTTCAGTGGCTGAGTATTGTGCCCCAGTTTGGGGCAAGAGTGCCCAAATCAGCCTGATTGACTCTCAGCTGAATAGTTTCATAGTTTCATAGTTGTTAGGGTCGGAAGGGACCTGAGCAGATCCTCGAGTCCGCCCCCCTGCCATGGCAAGAAAGAGTACTGGGGTCAAATGACCCCAGCAAAGCGTTCATCCAGCCTCCTCTTAAAGACCCCCAGGGTAGGAGCCAGCACCATTTAGCTTGGAAGTTGGTTCCAGATCCTAGCTGCCTTGACAGTGAAGTAGCACCTCCTGATGTCTAATCTGAATCTCTCCTCTGCCAGCTTGTGACCGTTATTTCTAGTCACTCCAGGGAATGCTCGGGGGAACAGGGACTCCCCCAGTGCCTGCTGGTCCCCTCTGACTAGTTTGTAAATGGCCACTAGATCCCCCCTCAGCCTTCTCTTGTGGAGGCTGAACAGGTTCAGGTCCCTTAGCCTCTCCTCGTAGGGCCTGCCCTGCTGCCCCCTGATCATGCGAGTTGCCCTCCTCTGGACCCTCTCCATGTTGTCCACATCCCTCTTGAAGTGCAGTGCCCAGAAGTACTCCAGCTGCAGCCTGACCAAGTGTCGTATAGAGGAGGAGGATCACCTCTTTGGACCTGCTTGAGATGCATCTGTGGATGCATGACAAGGTACGGCTGACCTTCCTGACCGCGTCCCCACACTGCCGGCCCACATTCATTTTGGCATCAATAATGACTCCAAAATCTTTTTCTGCCTCTGCACTGATGAGAAGGGAGTTCCCTAATTTGTAGGTATGCTGCTGGTTCTTCCCCCTCCACCTTGCACTTGTCAGTGTTGAATGAAACAGTAAGACTCATAACAGGTATTTGCAGAACCTCTCTTGTTCCTTGACTCATATCTCATATTCCCTCCTGATCTTCAACATAAAAAGCTACTTCAAGTTTACAAAAGCTGCTTACATTCAATTCACTACCATTTTTTGAGGAACTTAATGAACCCACTAGGCCAAGGCTTAAGTTGAGAAGGCTGTTTTCGAGTATGGGAAAAAAAAATGGATGACAAACTTTTACATCAAGGAAAAATAGATCCAGCAATGAAACTCAATTGACATAATAAATTTCTTATCACGGACCACACACCTAAATCTCCTGGCTTTACTTTACTAAGGTGGAGCTGGACAACACTGAACAAGGTTTGTAATGGACAAGGTGGATGTAACTACAAACTACACAAATGGAATTTTATGTGAGTGTGATGAAATCCAAGCTATAGCACGTCAGGGAGGAATATCCTGTGTATCATTTTAATAGTTGCACTGAAGACCTGCACCAGGCTACTGATGATACCTTGCAATGGACATCAAATCTGTCACTAAAGTGCTGCTATTTATAGGTTGTTTATAGCTTGTTCTGTCATTCAGTTGCTGTATTCTATGCAAATAAACTTTTATTTATTCATTTAATTATATTCAACCAAGTGATTCCTGCTATCTGGTGTTAAAAGTTATGCATAAATTTTATTTTTAATTTTTCTAGCCATCTCAAAAGTTCTTGAAAGTGGCATAAATTTTGTGTACTAAATATTTGATTTAGGAAGTTTTGTGCTGTGCTGTGCTGTGCTGTGCTAGTAGTGTAATACTTTCCAGTGCAATGCTCAGGCAAGTTTGGCTTTGTTTAGGTTTGCAGGTGTCTGTATAGCAGAACCAAGAGTATGAGACAAAATGAGGAAGGAATAAACCACCGACTGAGTGGACAGGGAGGGTGAGGGTGGTGCTTCAGATTTTTCCTTTGCTATGTTTTGAATAGATTCCTCTAATGATTTTGGGACTCAAACTGTGCTGCTTTTTGATTCCACTAGATGGTACCATAGTCTTTGAAAACCTTTAACAGTAACAGTTCATGCTGTAGTTTTAGTTGACAGTTGTGCACTCTCTCTTAATAAAAATGTAATAAATAAATAATGTCTTGGAACCTGAAGAGTGTTTTGGGGAAAAAATGGGCATGCAACATTTATTGTGCAGTAGACTAATTAGCTGCACAGGAAACATCTCAGTGTCTACATGTACAACCCTATTAGGCTGGAGTAAACTAATTTATCCTGAAGCAGGATGGTACTTGTAAATACAAAAACTATCCTGCTGTGGAGTTTTTTTTACTCCACAGCAGTGCAAGTGTAGAGGCTGCCCGGCTGGCTGTGCCATGAAGCCACTTCAGTGCAGGAGCTGCCTGCTGGTTAGCCCCATGTTGAAGCACTCTCTTGCCCCAGCCAGCCCTTTTGCAGCACCTTGGAACAGCCACAGGCTAGCAGGCTGACCCCGTGGGCCCCCTGCCAGAAGGGCTGCTGTGACCCAGTTCAGTGTGCTGTGATCCCAGGTACACATGAAGACATGGTGCTCAGGAGCAATGAGAACTGGAGTTTATTGAGGTACATTTCATAGTTTCATAGTTTCTGGGGTCGGAAGGGACCTGAGCAGATCATCTAGTCCGACTAGGCAAGTGTAGACATGCCCAGTGAAGAAATGCAAAACTCTAGAATTCTTGGTTCAGAGATGATACTTTTTATTAGACCAATTAAGAAATTGCAAAAATATTATCTTTTTCTGAAGCTTCTGGGTGCACGCGCACACACACACACACACACACACACACACACACACTGTAAAGGCCCAG